TAAACGCTGAGAAGCCGTGAGAAGCCGATGGGCTCGCAACCATTCCTAGCTTCATGAAACCCGTTTGAGGCGACCTTCGTGCCGCTGCCCGTGCCCGTGGGAGCCAGAACCCAAATAAAGATACAATTTCTAAACACGACATAGCCATGGAAGCTGGCCAAGCATACTCTTGCAGTCTGGAGTTTGGATTTGCTGTGTCCACAAGGCGAGCAAGGTGCGGATTTGCCCATCTGCCTGGCCCCGCACTCCGATTCGTCAAGCGGTGCATCGGAGTTCACAACTATGCCTCTGCGTGTTGACATGAGGCATGGTCGGCCGGCAATGCGTCTCGAGGTGTTTGTGTGGGCCTCGAAGACTTGAACACTGGAAGAAAGAAGGACGCATGTCATGGCCCAGTATGTCTTAGATTCAGTTTGGCAGTTGGGCTGATCTTCATGGCGAATGTGGACTGAGAAACTGGTTCAACCTGCGATTGAATGCCAACATCACACTACCTCAGCTCTTAGCACTCAGGCAACAGCAGCACCAAAGACGCGCGGACATGTTGTTGGGCTTCTCTGACAAGTTGTACCATGTAGCTCCGCTCTTTCAGCGACACCTGCATATTAACAGCCTCTCTATCTTGCTCGTGCAGCAAGGTTCTCCCCTCCCAGAATTCCTGGCACCGAGCCGCTCAGAACTTCGGGCGTCTTCAAGCCCCGACCCCGGCATGAGTTGGCTTTCAGAGCTAGGAAGTTGTGAGTTAAGGGGATATGGGTTTGAAGGCTTGATAAGGTGAGCCGTGGCTGTTTCGATGGGAACATACAACTCTCGAGCCATGTCATGCCAATCTGTCGCCGGACTTGTGTGTGTGTGCGTGCTTCCGTGGGAGTTAGAGGCAGTTTGGCCACAGTAAGGCTCAGATCCAACTCGGCAAGGAGGCGCTGAGCAGGCTCAAGGTGCGTGTGGAGGCGCGTCCTGGCAAAGTCCCTGTTTCGATCTGAAGATGCGTGGTAGCCCAGTGGTACCCTTTTCCCGTTTGTTGGGTTCTGGGTTCCCTTACAAAGTAACCAACCAAGAAAAGGGTGCCCCTTATTATAATACGCGGGCTACTAAGGATGTGGGGGTTTCCGAAATTAGGGGGTACCTTCAGAGGCCTGGATGTAAAAGGGGTACCTTATGGGGTCACTTTTATAAGGGGATTCTACTATTTGGGGATCTATGTTGGGGCGTCCCCTGTTTTCGTTTGCAACCTTAGTTGGGTCGCCAGGCCAATATGCGCCAGGGCCTTGGGCATGGAAAGCACTACTCCTGGCGCAATGCTGGCAATACTTGGTGGCTTCTGCGATTATGGCCGGGCTCACGCAAGAACGATGCCTCAATATCATATTCCGGTCGGCGCCTTGCTTTTGCCGCCTGGCTGAGGCGAAGATCAGTTGGCAAAGGAGCAGCAGGTGACTTGTAAGAAACAGGGATGTGACTTCGTGGTTCAATAATAGCTCAATGTACGTATTACACTTGGGTGCAGAGATTTCCTTCACCCACAAGGTTGGCACTTTTTGATGCTTGTAAGAGTGGCTGCCAACCTGCCACCGAGTGTTAAAGTTTACCGTCCTCCTCCTTATACTGGTTTGACACTTAACTTGTTGATTTCAGCTGGGGTCCAAAGGAGCGATGTCTGATGCATTCCAGTCGACTTGTTTTCGGCTTCTTTCACCGCGTTTCATCCCTAAACCTTGGCCCCTAAACCCTAAACCGAGGTACATGAGCGGGGTGCACTGCAGCGCCAACTGGAAGAAGCCTTGGCGCGCGCGGCAGGGGCTCCCAGTACCGATGGAGTTTTGGGGTATAGGGTTGAGAGTTTAGGGTTCAGGGTCCCGGAGCCGCAGCAGTCCTGGGTTAACAAAAAAAAGTGTTGCAAATGGGTCCGCGGTCAGCTGCAGGCCGCCTCAGAGGCCCAGCTTCTGCAGGTGAAGGCAGAGAATGAGCGCCCAGCACCCAGATGTAGAAGTTTAGCTCGCTTGCAGCTCCTGTGACATCGATGGTGGCTCCACTTATTACTACTAAAATACTACTGTTGTTAATACGATATTGTGATAAAACGTATTACTACAATTTTGAGTCATATGTTCGAGTCCTTCCATCTTTCATGCATAATATGTCAGTGCGTGTGACCAGATTCTGACTCCTAAACCCTTAACCCTTGACCCTTAACCCTAAACCCTATACCCTAAACCCTGACTCTGACTCAGACACATGACGAGGCCTCCAGCAACAGTTGGACATCTGCTCGGCTGAGCTTTGCACTGCAGAGGTGCAGCCAGCAAAGTAGGGAGTGGTTTAGGGTTTAGGGTTTAGGGTACTTTGCAACTAGCTAAACACAGTAGGGCACATGGACCGGAGGACAATGTTGCCTAAGTTTGACACACGTTCTCTAAATTAGCATCCTCATGCCACAGTCACTATAGTATAGACTATAATTAGACACTAACAAGCCCAAGCAGGAACCTGAAGGTTGTTTTTGGGGTTGTGCTGTGAGCAGAAGGATGGGTGATTAGGGGGACCCGTGCAGCAGGTCGACAGTAAACGAGAAACGTGCCGACATTTTTGATCCTGCGTCCCCATTGCCACTATAGTCCACATAGACGTACAGCCGAGCCCGATGCCCGAATTCTTGGAGGGACGTAAAGGCACCCTGAGCTTTCCAATGGTCCAGTGGCTACACTCTGACCCTAAACCCTAAACCCTAAACCCTAAACCCTAAACCCTAAACCCTAAACCCTAAACCCTAAACCCTAAACCCTAAACCCTAAACCCTAAACCCTAAACCCTAAACCCTAAACCCTAAACCCTAACCCTAAACCCTAAACCCTCTGCATTTGTTCCTTGGGCTTGATGAGACAGTCAGGTCCAGGCACACGGACCCATGGAGTGTTTTCTGTTTGGTGCATCAACTTTTCTGGCTGCCTCGTATGTTCTGAAAAGAGAGGGCTTTGCGCCCTTCAAGATCGTAGCCCTAAACCCCGAACGCCCTAATTAAACCTCACCTAAATCCTGAGCATGAGCATTTTCTAAGTCCTTGGATCCCCTAAACCTTATAATCCCAAAGCATGAGCATTTTCTAAGTGCCTGCGAAGCCTTGGATCCCGAAATGCTTCCACCGCCAGGAGGCGCGGCGGAGTGCTGAACGTGTCGGCTTGGGAGCCACAGGGGATTTTACGGTTGGTTAGCAGGGAATGAGGGAATTAAGGACCCCATATATGTATTGAAAAAATAAAGAATATTATATATATATATGTATATATATATATATACATACCCTTTAAGGGATTATATAGGGTACCTCATTCCCCCCATTCCCTGCTAGCCAACAGTAAGTTCAGGAAGGGTCTGGGCCGAGGCTTGCTTGAGATTCCTTGGCATGCGACGCGGGGGGTATGTTGCATTCGCTGGCAGTCAGCCGCATTCAGCTGCACTCCCATGCGCCACCTCCGCATCCTCAAGCTCTCCCATGGCATGTCAGGCACAGCTTGCAGAAAAGTGACATATCCACAGTAGGTCGACATTCGGCTACATGCATTCTCGTATTCGAGACCGCCCGCAAGCCATAACGCCAAAAGATCCTCAACTTCAATCCTCAGCCGAAAAACCTTTCGAGGTCCCTCTTCACGGTCTCCCACGCAACTCGCTCGATTTCAGGTAGCAAGAAGTCATGGCAGTTTCCAGTCCGTAGCCCGATGAGCTCGCTCTGGAATGGAGTCCGCACATGCAACACCCAGCCGCCTGACATCATTTCCTGGTTCTTCGTAGGGAATGAGGGACTGAGGGCCCTGTATACCCTTTAAGGGATAATATAGGAAACTCCGTATATACCCTTTAAGGGATAAGATAGGGCCCTCATTCCCTACTAGGAACCAGCCAGATAAAGTTGGGGTGCTGCATGCTGGACCTGGGCATGCCTAGGTTTTAAATCCGGGCTTCCTCGGATGTTCCTCGAAGGGTCACCCTCAATGAACCTCAGGAAACGTGATCAACCACCAGCTGCCACCGATCTTTCCTCCCGATGGTTCTCCGGCCACTTGTTGCACTGGAGACTTACCCAGAAGGTCCATTTGTAGTACCATTGTGGAATTAGGTACCCAAAACCTTATTTAGTATGGTTTTTGGGTACCTAAATCCAGAATAGTAGTACAAATGGACCCTCTGGGTTAAGAGAGACGCCGATGTCAGAATTCACAGGGCGTGTGACATCGCTCGGAATTTGACTTGAAACCTCACAGGAGGAGCCTCCCCGAAGCATAGCCCTTCAGCCCGCCTTGCGCGCTTGACACAAAGCTGTTGCAGAGCAGTCAAGTCAAGTGAGGTGAACATCGTCCTCTTGGGACCTCCAGCCGGCGGGGGGTCTTTGGCACGATTTTCAAGACCTGACTTAGGGTTCGCAGGTTGTGATTACTCAGCTTGAATCATCCTTTCCTGCTATCGCAAGGTGGCAAGGGCACCCAAGCTGGCTACCTGGCTGAGCGGTATGGCGTCTTGGCCACACATGTGCTGGTCTCAACGATCCTGCGTTCATGCTCGACGAGTGAGGCCTGTACGTACAGTGATGTCGGAGTATCTTGGGTGGGGCATGCTCTCTTGAAGCAATCGTCCCGTCTTATGCAGGGTCCAGCCGCGCAGCCACATGTTTGAGGGTTCACGGCAAATTTTCTTGGCCGGTGAGTCAGGAACAAGCCGGGTCGATTAAAGCCCTCAGTTTAGGGTTTAGGTTTTAGGATTTGGGGTTTAGGGTTTAGGGTTTAGGCATTCAGGAAGCCCCGGGTTCAAAAGGGTTTAGGGCTGAGGGGTCTAGCCAACCAGCCCGAGGCCCTCACATCTTAAAGCCGAGCATCCTTATTGCTTGGCCATGTCCCTCTGACTCTTTCAGAATCTGGGGGAGGGTCCAACACCACCGCAGGGTGAGAGGCACCTACCGCCCGAGATTTCGAAGAGGTCTGCAAGTCCTTGTAGCTCACATCCCAGGCATGGTCCACATCCCCATGGGCGACCTTCTGCGCGCGCGGGCGAAGTTCCTGCCCGAGTTGGGCGAGTTTATCTCCAACGGCCGGCTCGTGGCTTATCAGAATCAGGGTCAGTCGGTCGCGATGGAGTTTCGGCGGGTGGATGCAGGAAATCGTGGGGGGGGGGGGGGCACACCTGGCCTTTGCTTGACTGACTGAGCTGGTGCTGTGAGAGGTGCCAGATGATGTGGTCGTGTCTGTGCTCAAGGCCAGGCGAAGCCATCACAGCCTTGCTCGAAAACGTCTAGTAGGCCCTTAAGGGATACTTGTATTTTCCCTTGTTGGGCCTAAGCGGGAGCATATTCCGGAATATTATCAGATGATTAAGGGCAATCCTATAGATGCTGTTCAGCATGACTCTTGCGTGGCAGGAGCGCCTTGCAGACAGCGACTGTGCCTCTCGAGGTGTGCTGCGCGGCTGCACATCTGCCAAGAAGCCACTTTGGTCCAGCCCGCATCTGCTCCAAAACGTCCCCCAAAATCCATCAACAACCCCTTAAGCAGCCCATTCAACCCTAAACCCTATGACTTTGGTTCCTCAAGTTAAACCCTAAAGCCCTTAACAGCCTAAAGCTCTTAGGTTGCTGGATGGTTTCCCAAGAACTCGAGCGCAGGCTCGGCCCGGGTTACTGAGTGGAGGTGCACAGCCTGCTTAGGGTTTAGGGTTTAGGGTTCAGGGTTCAGGGTTTAGGGTAAGCCATCGCAGCACAGCCTCCATGGGTTGATAGCTGATTACTCTTCTGAAGGCATACCAGCTTGGGAAGTTCCCGCTTATACGAACAGTCCTTAATAGGGATTATAATGGGGGGGGGGACAGGTACTAGAATCCCCATTAAGGACTATTCTAAAAAGGGGGAACATCCCAACTTCCAGCTGAGACCTGAGAATCAGCTCTTCTTGAGGCATTGGCAAGCCGTGTGACGTGTGAAGATGCTTGTCGAGCGTAGGCTGAATCACTGCAGCGAGTGGGCGTCGAGATTTCCGCCGTGCTCCATCTCCAGGCACTTGCTCGGACGTATTTGCAAGCTTGGCTGGTTGCGAAATTCTTCTTCTGGCTACAAGAGTCCCCAGACTCACGCCTAGGAACCCAGGGGTCTGGGTCATAACCCAAACCCGAAACCCTAAATCCCCTCTCTCGGTGATCGCTGGATTGTTATGGCATGTCGAAGGTGTCGGTGGGTTTCGCGAGGCCTTACTTTGGGCTGTAGTGAGGAAGGTCATGGCGGTCTGGGCATCTTGACTTCAGCCTGCGACGTAGTGATGTTTAAGCAGTTGTTCAGTGTGGACCCTCTGAAGTAGTCGCTCGAGTGTGGGCGGGTGGTAAAAAGAACCTTATAAGCCCTAAACCCTAAACCCCTAAACCCGAAACCCTAAACCCTAAACCCTTCTTCCTTGAGCCGCAAGGCTTTGAAGTGCCTTGAAGTGCCACCAGAGGTGGCTGACGACGTCGTCGTGGATCGAATCGCCGGCCGCCGCATCGATCCGCTGAGCGGCAAGATCTACCACGTCAAGGCACTGGGGTTAGGCGCTTAAGGTTTAGGGTTTAGGGTTAGGGTTTAGGGTTTAGGGTGTAGGGTGTAGGGTTTAGGGTTTAGGGTTTAGGGATCTACCTGATTGAAGCAAGCTACCATCACCGTGCTGATGACAGGACAACCCACCACCGCCAGAGATTGCTGGCCGCGTGATCCAGCGCGAGGATGATACCCCCGAGAAGCTTCGAAGTTGCAGTGATTGCAGTGAAGTGCAGGGTTTAGGGTTTAGGGTTTGGGGTTTGGGGTTTGGGGTTTGGGGTTCAGGGTTTAGGGTTTAGGGACAGGTAAACCACACACGTTCTTGTCGGCAACGCTCGGCCGATTCCCGCCACATCACCGTGCGCTTTCAGGGCTTCAGCATCACAACGGAGTGACGTAGCTTCGCCCGTCTCCGCGTATGCAGCTGAGGATCCGCAGGCGCCTTGTCACCTACCACCAGGTGCCTCAGCTGTGGGCCTTGTGAGATGAGCCTGGAGAATCAGAGAATTGCAATTAACGTCAGGATGTTGTATTTTGTAGCAAATCATTTCTCGCCACTGTCCGTGGCTCCATGAGCTGCAACTTTGCACGCGCGCTCGGGTCCTAGACGAGGAGCGAGACGCCATTTTGGAGTTCTGCCGCGATACGGTCGGGCACTCAGATCAGCAGCCAGTCGAAAGATGCGAACATACGCGAACATATGCGAATATATCGAGACAACCTGACACCAAACCCAAAAAACCCTAAACCCCAAGCCCAACCTTAAACCCCCCAAAGTGGAGGTTAGAACCATCCACGTTGGCGATGGCAGCGACGAGGCGGCGCCATCAGACGAAACACAAAAAGCCTGCAGCATCACTTCTCAATGAGATGGCCAGCTACTGAAATGGTACCAGTAGCAGTGAAAAAGCCAGGGTTTAGGGTTTAGGGTTTAGGGTTTAGGGTTTAGGGTAGCCAGTAGCAGTGAAAACAGACGTGTCCACACCAGTATGGCTCTCTTGGATGGTCATCACCGGATGTGAGGCGCTGCCTGCCGATGTGCGTCCCTTGCGGGTGTTCGACGAGGTGAGAAAGGCCGTCAAAGACTGGCAAAAAATTGGTTTAGGGTTTAGGGTTTGCTGGACATTTGGGTGCCCCTGCGCCACTCTTTCCACAAGGCCGTGGAGGGCGACACATACTGGGGCTCAGTGATTCGCTCTGAGATCATTGCGAAGGCGCGGCATGTCACAAGTCACGGCTGCCAGCTCTTAGGGTTTAGGGTTTAGGGTTTAGGGTTTAGGGTCTTCCACGAAATCTTGTCTACAGCCTGTCTACAGCTGACGGATCGGCTTGAGCTGAGTATGCTTCCTCAGCCAACTCTATCGCTTCCGGCAAAGCACCTCTGACGCAGTTTCCCCTCATATGTCGCGTCAAGACCTCCACCTCACAGGCCTGTGCAGACCTAGACTCAGAGCTCGGGGATGCTCATGAAAAGCCCGATATATAGCGACGCTAGCGCACGAGCAGCGGCGCAAACATGGCAGCTGATGCCCAGGAAGGCACTCTCGTGCTTAGGCTGCACTGAGTGCTGAAGTGGCTCAAACAACCAGCTTCGTCACGAGCATTTTCTGGAACCTAAACCCTGTGACCCGCGAACTAGCAGGGTTCATTGCTTGGGGGTCGATTGCCGCTGGCCTTAGATGCTTCGGGGGCACGGCTTCTTTGCGTTTTCTCATGGTACTGATTTTTGGAGGCCAGCCCGAAGGGTGGTTGTTCCGCAGCTTCACGCGCAAGATCCTAGGCGAACGAAGAAGTAGATGAGGTCGGTCTGTCGGAGTTGACCATCCACAGACCCAGCGGAATGCGCAAGTCTGTTACTGTTACAATTAGACAATACTTGGTTTTTTGTTTTCTGGAGCCGCTGTCTGTGGTGCTTCCCCTGTTGTGATACTGGTTTCTGTAGGTGCACAAGGATAGGTGCGAACGGCCACATATCCCCCAATCTTAACCGAGTATGAGCAATATAGGATGCCTTCTATAATGTCTGAACTCCCGTAAGGTTTTGCATGTTTGTCGGATTGGCTGCACCTTCCCACTTGCGGTGCAGTCAACATTGACATTTCCAAAGCAAGACCTTCTGATGGCACAATGCACTGCATGTGCTACGAACCCATGCCGAGGTGCCAGTTCTCATGGTCTTTGGTGGCTGCATGGGCGCCATCGTTGCCATGGAGGTGGTATTGAAAGCAGATCCCAAGTTCCTTGACCTTACAAGGCATCCAACATTTGGTCTTTCCGGGGCAGATAGCCGAGCTACAGTTGGTATGATTTTTTCCACCGAAGCATTCTCAATTTGTTCAAGAATTTCGTCAGCAAGGTCAGGGAACTTGTTGACCCTCACTGCGGCTGCTTGGCAAACGCACAAGAGCTCCTGAGTGGTTACGGTACGGCGTAGGGGGTGTGGTCCACAGCTTCCGTATACAGCGTCGCATCATTCCGTAATGATGGAGTAATGTCGCACCTGCTTCAGTGTAGGCAGGCCCTCAGAATTGCTTCCCGGCGGTTCGGGGACGACTCAGCAACATCAGCAGATGCCACCACAAGTATTGCATCATTTTGTGAGGACTCACTAGCTCAACGCATGCAAACCTGCCGTTTGGCTCTCTTGTGTCGCGAGAAGCGTGAGGCACGGTCGTCTTGAATGCACCTAGGTTCTCATGGTACTCTTCCAGAGCATACCAGGCAAGTGGGAACTCTTTCCATAGAAAGCCCGCGAATCTAAGCTATCTCCCGCAAATTACTACATCCATCTATGCCCCCCTCAAAAAGCTACCATAAGCCCTCAAGAGAGGCACCCTGCTTCCCGAAACATTTTCAGAACCACAGCGCTCCGCACATTCTTGGAGGCCGCATATCTGGTTCGGGCCTGAAGCCCCTGGTGGCCCCCATCGCCAGCCATGCCAAGTTCTCGGCGCTCTGGGCTTCTCGCCCATACTATGTGTATGTGGTTTAGGGTTTAGGCTTGAGGGTGTAGGGCTCATAGAGTCAGGAAGGGAGAAGGGTTTGAGATGTTTGTTGGGCTTTCAAGCTGAGGAGGTAACCTTCAACCTTGTGAGGTACATAAAGATAGTCCTACCACAAAGGTTAGCCTTTTTTGGCCCAGGGTACTCAGCAATGAGGCTAAGTAGCTCATTAACGGGTAGTTGAAGAGCTTCTTCAAAGATGCTGTGGCAATTGTTGTGGCGGCTTCATTGCGCTCAAGGTGTCCATGTCCGTCCTCGCCAATTATGCCTTTGCATATAAGATCAGCGTGGCAATCTTCACTTTGTGCCTTGCCTGAAGCAGCCCAGTGCGTTCATCCGGGAATGCAGGGTGCTTGAAACCTTCTCTGCAAGACAATTGAAGACAACTTACGAACCAGGACGCTTCCTCCTTGATGTTGGGTCTTCTTGCTGTTGATTCCGTTTGCTGCTCCAAGTACGAGCGACTGCAGCCAGTCTGCATGACCTCGGAAAAAAAACTAAACCCCTGTGCAGGTTGTTTACACCTCAACTGGCCCGCCGCACGTTGATGTCCCAGGATCCGCTCGTGCAACATCATCGCGACCGTACTGCTCGGTTACACTGTCTTTGGGGAGCGCTTCTCTGCAGCAACTCGGTCTGCAGTCCAGCGGAGTCTGTGAAATCACATGTAGAGCAGGGGATCAGGCTTCCATTTTGTGATTTGTTTACAGAAGCCAGCCTTGATCACAGGAGCAATTGCTCTGCGTGTTGGCCGTCACGGTGGGAATCTTTCTCGCCTCCATGGGCGTAACTGGTCACGATTGGTCACGATGTGTCACCATGAGAGTCACATGACGCTACACGGCACAAACAGGCTGCGATGATTGCAAGTCGCTTCTTCTAAGAGGGGCTTGCAGTGAACATCCAATGCAGATGGCTGACCGAAGGAGATCAAGACGCTGAACACCAGTGATCCCACCTCGGCTGCGTGCAGCTTCCTGTTCTGCAAATTAATTACAGTGTGGCCTCCCAACCAAATTTCAAATTAAACAGCAAGCACTTGTGGCAAGCAATGGTCGCGACAGCAGCCTTATAGGGACTACAGGAATCACGAACTTGTCGAGGAACACTGCTGTGAGTGTTTGCTGTCTACTTTCCCTCAGGTGCCTCAGGTTCGTGCGCTGAAATCACGAGCTTACCTGCGCCGGCAGACGACGCCTTTGCCTTAGCCACTGGTACTTCGAGAAAATTGGAAGGTGGCTTTGTCAGGACTGGGTTGTGGCTGGGCACTTCAAAACAACTGGGATTTTCAGGCTCAGCAATCATGCATTTGCTCAATTAAGAAGAGCGATGGCCTCAGTGGCTATCCCGTTCACAGCAACACGTGTGAGGTGGAGCTTGCCACATGGGCTATTGGCATTGCCATGCTGGCTTTCGTGCAGCTGCTTCAAGGCGAACGCTACAATAGCGTGAGAGTATTCTACTTGAGCTGCGACTCGAGCTGCGCAATCCTGCGTTCTGTCAAAGGCTTCCTGGGACATGTTCAGTCCACCTACTACAAAGTTTACAAGGACCGAAGTTCTCACAGTCAGTCAAGGCTTAGTCAGGTTAGTATGTCAAGCTTTCCAGGACCTCGCCCCCAAAAACGAGCTTTGCGACGAGTTTCTTTTCACCTCGCATGTGGTGGCTGCCTGCTCGAGTTAGATTGTTGGTCCAGGCAACACACACACACACACATTTCTGCGGAGTTTGTTGGTTGTGTTGGCCTGTCACAAAGCTCAGGCCTTACTGCCGCTGCTCTGCTTGAAGGAGGACATCATGGCGGTATCTGGCCTTAGTTTCAGAACGGAGGGTGGTGCTTGAAAGAAGCCCTCTTACAGCCCTGCAGCACAGAAACGCTTTGAACAATCTCCGAGGCAGCCAGAGTCGCGATGGCATCAGATCCAGTGCCATTTCTGCCGTTCCATCTTCCAGCCCAAATTCTTTGGCTGCCGCTCTTCTCAAGCTGATGTCGGTTGGCCAGGGACAAGGAATCACGCTTTGGGCCCGGAGCATGACCCCAAAGCATCAACGTAGGCACACTAAACCCTGAAATCCCAAAACCCCTAAACCCCTAAACCCTAAACCTTCTGGAGCAGCGATGAGGCTGGTCAACAACGTGTCGCAGACCATCTGCCTGAAGGGTGTCTTTCGCACCAGCGCCACTGTCTCTCCCCTGGCGCTGACCATCATTCTCTCTGTGAGGAAGTTTCTCTCCGTGGTGGAGCCTCGGATGCCCATTTTAGGATTAGGGTTTAGGGTTTAGGGTTTAGAAAAAAGGGTTAAGGGTTTAGGGTTTAGGGTTTCGGATGAGCTACCCAGTAAACCTTGATGGGTTTCACCTCAGGTCTCCATTGTCCTGTTCAGCAACCCCTGGACAGTCCAGCACAGCGTGGCCACGGTGTTTCGGCTAAGCCTAAGTGATGCGAAGCGCAGAGAGGTGCACCATGTTGTCAGCAAGTGGCGGGGACATTAAAACGTGACCACCCACCCCACAGCCCGTGTTTACACTTGTTGTTCCCTCCAGACGCATGTCCCCGCGCAAAACCGACATGCCGATTTCCTCGATATTTACAGTGTTTCCTTAGGGTCACATGCCGAAACCCTCGCTGCCGTCGGTGTTTTCGGCTCCTCCACTTTTCGCCTTTTGGGACAGGCCCAAAACATCGGTCTTTACAGTGTTTCGCGCGTGTTGCACGCCGGAAACATCGGTATTTGCGGTGTTTTCCTCGTGTTACACGCCGAACACCTCCTTGATTCCGAGGTTTCCTAATCCTATTGCATCCATTGGTCGTTCCATGCTTTGGGGGGGTGGGGGGGGGTGGGGGGGGGGGGGTTGGTCGTTCCATGCTTTGGGGGGGTGGGGGGGGGTGGGGGGGGGGGGGGGGGGGGGGGGGTGGGGGGGGGGTGGTTACGTCCATCGCACACATGCTTCCAGTACTTGGCAGTCCAAATGCTTCAACCTCAACTCTTTAAGCCCGAAACCCTGAAGTCTCGAACTTCCTGTGTGAGTATCCTCCTACATGATGTCGTGTTGACCGCTTTCATGACGGCGCGGCAATTCGCAGCTCAGCTCTAATGTAGTTGGTCCACGGTGCGTATTCCGCCGTGGTATTTGAGGTACTTTCGGACTTCAATGGGGGGGGGGGGTAGTTACGTTCCTGGAACCTTACACCCACTTTAAGCCTTGGAGGTTGAGTTTGTGTTCGGCTTGAGGGCTATAAGGTTACGTTCCTGGAACCTTACACCCACTTAATGCCCTGGGGGTTGAGTTTGTGTTCGGGTTGAGGGCTATAGGGCAGAATCCTTCTGGTCCAGGATTGCTACGATGTGGGCTTACATTCGGCAAGGGTTTCGGGTTTGGGGTTTTGGGTTTCAAGTCTGTATGTACCAAGCACAGGGAGTGGTTATGCGCTTTCTGGCTTGTTGGGCTCCGCTGGCAATGTAGGACCTTTGTGGTGAGGCTCTTCTGACATAAAAAAAACGTGAGACGTCTGCCGAATTTAGGGAAAAACTTATGTTTTTACGCGCGTGTGATGCTTGCTTCAACTATCGATTGTATCGGTATTTACAATGTTTTCCTCTCTTCTCCAAACGTGCGCGCGCGGCCACATACGCCTGCGGCGTTGTTGTTAGCGTTTGTTGTAGAATGGCTTCTTTAACTTCAAGCTTAGACAAGTCAGTTCCAAGGAGCATGGCAGGGGGTGGGTGTGTAGCACTGCGCTGGACATATATCGAGAGATATCGAGAGTCGACTTATTTACGCAGTAAGGCTTCAGCTCCACTCTCTTGCTCTCACTGCCTACTGCATTCACGTCCTCAGCACATCATGGAGATCCTTCTGAAAAAATGCTTGACGTGTGGCTGTAGGAAGCGCTTAAGGTGCTCATCTTTGGCGGCGCATTTGCTTACTCGCAAGTCCGTGGCGTGTCCCCCGTGCCTGGCTGAAAGAAAGAAGGCAGAAGTTCGGTAAGTGAGCCACCCTTTGCAGGATTTTGAAGAATTGCAACCTGCTCGTGTGTTTGTTGCTGCCAAGAGGGTTGAGGGTTCAGGATTTAGGGTATAAGTGAACCTTGGGTAGGCTGCTGGAAGCTGCCAAGAAGTCAAGAAGGCAGCAAAAAACGCCCAAATCACCCTTTCAGGGGTTCGTTCAGGGTTTAGGTTTTGATGAATCAGCTGCGTATTTTGAGATGTTGCCCCTTATACGAACAGTCCTTCATAGGGGCTATAGCACCCCCTTTTTACATCCCAATGCGTATTCATTATCCAGTTCGACATACTAGTTTCATGGTTGTCGGTGCTGCGACAGAAGCATGTTTCGCGCTTTTCAAGCCGAATGTTTGTCGAGCAGGGCCTGTTCTAGGTGTCTAGGCGTTGCTCATTGCCCGAGTGACGAAGGCTACATTTGCTTAACCATTGCAAACCTCCAGAAATCTCCTTGTCTGACAAAGTTCAGTGCGATGCTTTTTGAGCAGCTGAGGCCAAAGCGAAGGGGGCGGAAAGAAAGTCTGATTGATGGCGGTGAGCTATGATCAGAGGGCCCATGAATAGTGGGCAAGGACCCTGTAGTTACTGTAGTTGCTGCAGGGGACAAGGTTTCACGTCTAGGAGCAAAAAGATGTCGCTGCATGCGCCGGCAAAGTGAGATCCCGAGGAAACCTACACCCCCCCAAAATGGGGGGCAAACCCTAAATCCCCTAAATTGGGGTTAAGCTTCCCTGAACCCTAATCCCTACACATTGAAGCAGTCTTCGCACTGTGCACCAGTGCTGGGCGGGTGGCCAAAAAAGCACCTACACCTACACGCTAGCTATGAGTCGCAAAACCCGAAACATGTGCGGTGTCAGCTAGGCGGGTGGCAAAAAAGGAGCTCAACCCTAAACCCTAAACTCTGTCTTTGTTTTTGTTGACAACCTCCGAAAACACCAACAGAGCCTGACATCTGAAAGCCAGACATCATCTTTACTTGGGCTACCTAACTTGGGCAAAGGCTTTCTACAATTCTGCATCTCTGCAGTACCCCCGCGGCGCATCGAAGCCCTAAACCCTAAGCCCCGAAACCCTAAACCCTAAACCCTAAACCCTAAAACCCTAAACCCTAAACCCTAAACCCTGCTTCCGTTGAGGCCTTCGAGTGCGGCTCGGAGTCGACCACCCTGATCAGCCTCTCGGCGCTCTCAGCGTGTCCTGCGGGCTACCCTGCAAAGAAGTTTAGGGTTTAGGGTTTAGGGTTTAGGGCTTGTAGGGCTTGTAGGGCTTGTAGGGCTTGTAGGGCTTATAGGGCTTATAGGGCTTATGTGGCTTATAGGGGGTTAGGGTTTAGGGCTTGTCGGGGTTAAGGTTTAGGTTTGAGGGCTTATAGTGGGTTGGGGGTTTGCGGTTTCGCTTCTAGTCCCCCTTCTAGTAGTTTCAGGGTTTAGGGTTTATAATGGGTTAGGGTGTAGGGTTATGGCCTATGGTGGGTTCGGGGTTTAGGGGAGTAGGGCTTTACAGCGGGTTTAGGGCTTCATAGCGGGTTTAGGGCTATAGGGCTTACAAGGGGTTGCGGGCACCACAGCCAATGCATGTCGTTTCTGAGCTTACGTGGGATGCATAAGCGTCAGGTGCACCACTTCCGAATCATAAAGATGACTACTTCTATAGCCCCTTTAGGAATTGATTCTTTGGTTTATTTCAATAAAGCTCAAGGGGGAACATTAAAATGAAATCTTTTTGTTAATGTTCTAAGGGTACAAGGGAGTGATAGACTTTGTGGCCAGCCTTTTTTTCGATTGGAGACCTAGGTCTGGCCAGGTACTTCGAGCATGCCCGCTACCGCTTGGTTCAGCTACCTGGTGATGTGGGGCTGAGGGGCTGTGGGCTCACACCTTGGGATGTTCCCCTTGTGCTAAAAATACAAAAGGTCTTTAGTAGGGATTCTAGAACTCCCAATTATAATCCCTATTCAGGAAGGGGGAGCATCCCAATCCATACCCTTCTTTAAACCCCGTTGTAGTAGGCAGAGGAGCCAGGATGTTGCAATGTGGCAGAAGCGAGAGCAAGCCCCAGACCAGACAAGCTTCAGGAAAGGCTGCTTGAAAGATGCTGCTGCCAAAGTGGATCGAATCCTTCTCCGGTCGCAGGCTGCATTGATCAAACTCGCAAGGTGGTCATAGCCCACGGTCAGGGCAATTGCTCGGTTGGGCGAACTGTTTCTGTTAATTTGGGGGGTTTCCGAACTTGGGGGGGGGGGGTACCTTTTTATTGGGTCCTTTTTATAAGGGAATCCTAGTATCTGGGGACTAGATTAACCCGGAGGGCCTAAAATAATTCTCCGCCCACTAGATTAGGGTCCCTGATTTTCGTAAGCCTCCATTTTGGGAATTGTTTTTTGGAGCTGACAGACCTCAGCTTCATGAAGCAAGGGGGTGATGGGAAAGCAGACACGCGCGAAGGTCCTGGAGGTGCTGCGCACGCTCGAGCCACTCGTGGCTCGGCTGCTTTTTTGAGCAAGTCGTCTGCCAAAAAAAATCCACTACTCAAACTGGGGTCGATGCGACAGTGCAGGTCCAGATACTTTGTTTCATAATGTTCGTCTGTTCATCTGAGGCACAATACGAACTGCGCACTTGGCTTCACAAGGCCGGAGCACCAACCTGACAACTTCATGAACACGTTGTAAGGCATGCTGTAAGCAGTCGCAGGCACACCAGGGTTTACTGCCCCACAGTGAGGTGCGGCCGCACTCGGCACTTGTGGGCCACACCATTACTTTGCGACGCGCGGACGGCGATGCAGCATCCTGGCAATGCACATTGCACAGTAGAGCACCAAATCAGAATATAAGCACACACACAGATATATATATATATGGATATAGATATCTGTGTGTATTTGTATACGTACTTTTAATATAACATAAAATAAGAATATTCCAGACGAATATTCTAGACGATTATTTATGCGCTTCTTCAGGCATTCAGCATGTTTGTAGCGATATGTCCAGGTCGACGTGGCTCGGGGTTGGGCCGTGCTGGTCTTCAAGCAGGGGGACAGGGTGACAGAGGCCGATGCACCTAAACTCCCTGTCTCCCAATGATCGACTGCACATGATGATTGCGGATGCATATGTCGAGGCGATACACTTTTGGTATCTTCTGGAGCTGAGGACGGGTTTACCATAAGGCCTTCAGCACGCACAAGCTATTCAAGGGTTCTCCAAGAACGAAGCAAAAGGTGTTTACAGCCAGAGGTGTCGGAGCTTTGTTACGAAGAGTGAGGTGGTTCCTCTGAAACATCTGAACACAGATGAGTGCATCAGAGACAAGTAATCGGAGAGGAATGGGTGCCCCTGTACAGAGTCCAGATTGTGGATAGATAGATAGATAGATAATGTATACAAACATTCAAAGAATGTGAGGTATGTAGCCCCAAAGCATTCTCATAGCCATCTTCCGCGGACATCCTGGACGATTGCGCTGAAGTCAGGACATAGCTCCAGGGCCCCAGACAAAACGATACACGGCCTGGGTGTGTTGGTCGATACCCGATTTTGTTGAATGGCCCAGTCGTTCACGGCTGGTGAAATGCGAGGATGGGCTGTGCAGGGTCTGACTGCCACCCATGCGATGCTTGCAGGTGCCTGACGCGGGCCGCCTCGCTGAACTCGCACCGCCGGCGCCCACGTCCAGTGCAAACTGGACTCAAGAAATGATTGCTGGAGACCTGTTGCTTGCTTTATTTTGCTTCAGTCTGCCTGAGGGATTGTGTGTCTATCTATCTCTCTATCTCTGTGTCTGTGCCCGTGTCTGTCTTCATCTGTGTGTAGAATGATGGTCGAGTGTATCCTATATAGCCTATAGAAGGTATAGAGAACATAGTATGTAGCGTAGTATTTAGCAGAAAGTGTATACCCCCCCCCCCCCCCCCCCGCCCCTCCAGGTTAAGTCCAGGGCAGATCTTGCGGTGAATTATGTCGCTTCGCTGGTTTAAAGTTTCTAGGGGCCCTTTGATGCATCTCACCCTTCGTTACCCGCATGCGTTGACTCCCAGGTGGCGCTCAGCGCATCCCCCGAGGCTCCGGACGCGGGAGCTTTCGACTCGAGAGATTTGTCAGTACGTCTGCAAGATGCCATGGAGGGTTGGTTTAGGGTTTAGGGTTTGGGGTTTAGGGTTTAGCCCAGTATTCAAAAGGGTTTAGGGTTTACGGGTGTATCGGCTTCCATTCAGCTAGCGTCGAAGAAATTTCTACCTGCCATAACGTCCTCTCCTCCATTCACTAGAGCTCTTCGTGCCAGGCCTTTGCGGTACCTCGGCTGCATTGCAACAGCCCCAAACAGGGCCTCGGCAAACATAAAAGAGCTTGCCGATGACGTGGAATTCCACACTGTGGCTCTTAGATCGTGTTTGCTTCCATCTCAAGAATCTCTTGCAGCCTACATGTCGCATTAGCACAACAGACCCTGGCAGACTCAGTCATGGCATAAGAGCACTGCCTGGGCTGGAGGGTAGGCATCAGGAATTGCATGTCCTTTTCAGGAAATTTAATGCCGACAGTCAGTGCTCGCCCCGAACGAATCGTTTCCGAAGTCAATGGACAACACTAAAGCTATAACCCTAAACCCTAAACTGCCCTAACCCCCTTACAAGCCATTTGGCACAAGGAGGGCACCCGAAGTTGCAGTCGAACTCTGGGGTTGAGGCGGGGACAGGCTAGGGAGAACAAGCATCGTCGAAAAGCTGGGACTGCTGCTCTGTTTGCGCTTTGCCCTGTTCTGAACTGCAGAAGCCAGCCTGTGAAGTTGGAGCAGGTGCTTAGATCCTGCACTGCGTAGACGCGACTCATCCGATGCTCAATGAACAGAAGTTTTAACTAAGGGATGCTTCAGTGGGAACCCGACCTTCGCATCTCACACAAGTAAACCCGCAAAGCGCTTCCTGAACCCCGGAATCGGACTCTGAAACCTCAGAACATTCCAGGACCCCAAACCAACAGCGTATGTGAGCAGCCTAAGGACCGAATTGGAGATGCTCCGCCCGATTGCTGGCAACATCGGACTCCTGGGGGGCGGGCTGGATCGGCTTCGGCTGTCCTTGTTGGGTTCAGACCTCCGACCTTCGCGGCGCTCCGGGCTTCGGAGTAGAAGCCAAGAATCTGGCAAGCCAAGCCATAGAGAAAGAGAGAGAGAGAGAGAGGGAGAGAGATAGAGGGAGTTCCAGGACCTGCGTGGCTGCCGTGGACTTGGACCTGCACGGGCGCGTGCACGAGGCCCAGCGGGTCGATTCCTCATCCTGGGAAGCTCCATGGAAGATTGTAGGCATGGGCCTCAACAGCCTCATCTCATACGGAGAGCGGCCTTCCTCACAAAAAAATATGACTTGTCTACATAGAAAAGGATATGAGAAGGATGCACATGTTCTGCAGCATGCAGCTGCTCTGGACATCCAAAACCCGTGTGCAGGCGACCTGCCTTGCGTACATGGAGCGTCCCTTGGAGACAAGAATAGAAGGTAGAAAGTAGTGACCGATTTCATTGC